TCGCATCGGAAGCAGCCAGTGGCGGATACGGGTCCCGGGACCGTCCGCGACGACCATGACATGGAGCTCTATTCGCCCTCCGCTGCGTGCCGCCCGTTCGACCGCGCTCTGCCACTCTGCGCCTCCATATCGCTGGAGCTCCCTGCCCACGTCTGAATCGACCACAGAGTCGACAGAGATGACAGGACGGCCCGAGGTATAATTAAATACTGTCAGGAAGGCATCGCCAGGAAACAATTTCATGAACATGATTTGCCGGACGTATATTTCGGGAGAACGGGCTGCCTCGTAGTCGTGGTGGATGAGCATGCGCAGGAACACGCGATCTCGCCACGACATAGGTTGGTGCTCGTCTGATTTGCTGTCATTTTGGATCGCGGGGAAGACCAGGGAACGTACTGATGCACAAGGCTCTCCACGGTGAACACGTTTTTTTGTGGTCCCCATTATACCAATCGGCAATCTGGCATGGGCGAGAGCAATAATAAACGCTCCTGCAGCCTGCGCAGCGCTTAAACAGGCTGTTTTCTTGGATTACGCCGCACTGAATGTCTCGATCAACTTTTGGGAAGCACTAGTTGGTTTCGGGCAGTTCTCACCACTACATTGTCACAAGCTCTGGGAGGGGCATATTCTGGGGAATTGAAGCGCCGTATCAATTGGAATCGTGGTCTCACGACAGCAATGAATTTTCTCCAGGTGCCGAAGAAGGGCGTCTTGTCGAAGGCCTCGGTGCGCACAATGGAGTCAACCTCGGGTAGGGCTACTATAATCGCCTCCAGAACAGTGTAGTAGATTGTAAAGGGAAGCATGGCGTTGAGCAACGACATCGAGTCAGGGATGACGTTGTCGCGGTATCCACGCAGAGTGGATGAAACGAGCGCATAGAGGAGGCCGTGCTTGATGGCCTTGGCGAGGAAGAGATAGCCTCGGGGGTCCTCGAGAGCCTGTCCAATGAGCCGGAAACAAGTAATGACAGCGGAAAATGTGATCGGAAATTCGGTGTCGCTGAGCGCGCACGCCGCAATGGGAAGAATTCCCCCTCCCTGGCTGCAAAGCACTTTGCGCAGAAGCTGTGGGCCAGGATCGCCGTCTTTTTCGTAGAGCCGGTCCGCACTCGCCACAAATATGAAAAGTACATTCAGTGAATGAACCACCATCTCGGATAATGTCGTGCCTCGCATCGGAACAAAGATTGAAATGTTGCGAGTTATCACGGAGGCAAGATCATGAATCGTCCCACCAGCGCCGTCGACGAACTCGTCGAAGTGCGTCGTGTCGGAGGGGCTTAGTGCGCCAATCACCCATGAAAACAGCTCGACGAACCCTCCCTCGCGCGCGTGCAGATCTTCAACATCCAGTAGGAGGACCCATGTCCTCGCTAGGAGATGGCGAACACCGGGGGTTGCACCAACCAAGTTTTCGATCTCCTCTTCTTCCTGAAATCTTGCGAGGAACTGTAGAAATTCCAGACAGTAGTCTGTCTCCGAATAAAATTCTATCCGGGAACCCATGAATGTGTGGATAAATTCCGTCCACTTCCAGTAACGCGGCCAAATGCTGGGGAACGCTGCCAGTGGTATCTGGGCCTTCATGGCATACAAGCCGTCTAGCGCCTCGATAGCTCTAGCCACAGAGTCGGGCAAGACGAGAGTTTCGCTTGGAGATGGGATGTGCTTGGGATCGAGATTCGCATAGAAAGCAGGCAGGAACAGACGTGATTGAGACGGTGGTACGTCATCGATGCGGTCGCACAGAACGCAGAGATCGTCAATGGAACCGTTTGCAGCCGCGTGGGCCACTCTCTAAATCTTGGTTAAAACACCCAAAAAATTCCACTGCACGAAGTTGACGTACCCTCAGAGCCACAGGAAGTCCGGACAGAGCGTGCAAGCTTAGAGAACTATGCATGGAGCAGAAGATTGGAGGACCAGGAAAGAGAAATCCGTTATTCGCTCACGCCGGGGAGCAGCGGGAAACCCGGAAAAGTAGAAAACGCGTACATCAACCCAGGATTGATGCCATCACCCTAATATCCATTCAAAAGTAGCACAAGCCCCTATCCGAGAACACAGCTCAACAAACAAGGCTCCCGAAGAAAACAAAACTGAAGGGACTGGGAGGAACAAGAACACAAAAGCAACAACATCCCTCAATTAGCCCCAGCACTAAGTATCTACACAAATTAAGCAAGGCAGTACACTCTAACCCCATCTAGCTTGCTCTAGCTCCCCCTCATCTATCCCACACCCACTCTACCCAACCACCCCGCCCGCCGCACACCCCCGCAGCCCCGCCGCCCTCCCCATCTCGCGTATCCCCGCCCTATGCGCGCGCATCGCGAGCACGATGAAGACATGCCACACCGCGTGGCTCCCCGCGCCGACCGTGTCGAGCATGCGGTTCACGCGCGGCGGCAGGAAACACTCGGGGACTTGCATGGCGTAGACGACGAGGCCGATGATGTAGAAGAGGACGGAGGGGCCGATGGGGGCTGGAGTTGATTCGTGTCAGTGTGAGTTATGTGAGGAGAAGAGAAGAGGACTCGCCGACAAAGTGGAGCATCGGCCCCCACCCTTGCAGCACCGCGATGCCCGCGAGCGGCGCGAGCGCCGAGAACGAGATGCCCACGAAGAATCCGAGGCGCCAGAGCTGTTGGCGTGGGTCAGCGAGCGTGTTCGCGAGACGGTAGCGAGCGTGAAGCGAATATGAAAAAAAAAAAAAAAAAGAGGCGAAGCAAGAAAGAGAGAAAACCCACCCGATTCTCCACCCGATTAAACCAGTCGCAGAACGGGAGCACGTTCCCGGACACGCCGCACGCGAGGCACAGCGCGAGGCACGCCGCGCCGATGGGGTGGTACGCCGCTGCTTTCTCCAGCTTGTCTTCCAGCGCAATGATGGGGCGGAAGAGCGTCGGGAACGCGAAGAGGAACCAGGTAAGGAAGGGGAAGAGTGGTGCGAGGAAGGAGAGGAAGGACGTGGGCGGCTCGATGGCGTCGATCCACGCGTTGCCCGTGCCTGCATTGGAAGATACGACAGCGCCCCATGCGCGCGGGTGGAGCACGGCGTGCCCGAGCGGCGTCGCGTCGACCGCGGCCTCTGCGCACGCGTACCCGTGGTGCACGACCGTCGCGATCGACGTCGCGATGAGCCTGGGTGTGATGTGAGCACGGCAGGATAGGGTATTTCCCGCGCACTCACCACCCAATCCCGACATAATCGATCCTTGCACAGGTCTCCATCGTGCCCTGGTGCGCACACCCCGCCATCGTGTGCCACATCGTGCTGCTCGCGAGGCACGCGAGAGCAAAGAGCGTGAACAGGGCCTCCGCGCCGTCGCGCGCGACCTCGCCCTCCCCGCTGGAGCCCCATACAAAGGCCGCGCCCCAGACGAGCAGCGGGACGAGGTGGGTGTGGATGTTGAGCGTCTCGTTGTGCGGCTGCACGATAGAGAAGACGAGGCGGGGCCAGTGCTTCAGTGGGATGAAGCGGTACCCGTGCAGCACGAAGGGGTTGTTGTGCCACGCGAGGGGTAGGTCCGCGAGGTCGATGAGGCGCGCGCCGTCGTCCGAGGCGGCGAGGGCGCGGGCGACGTCGTCCGCGGAGGCGGGGGGGCCGTCGATGCTGAGTGCGCGCGGGAGAGACGGGAGTGTAAGGGAGGTGGGGAGCTCGCCGAGGAAAGTGTCGACATCGGCGAGGAAGGCCGCGAGCGCGGGGGGCGGCGCGAAGCTCAGCGCGGGCGCAGCAAAGTCGAAATCGAATGAAGGCGCGGAGAAGGAGAAGTCGCGGGCGGCGAGGTGGGCATGCAAGCCTCGGAGACGTGCAGAGAGTGTCGGGACGTAAGAGAGCGGGCGGGAAAAGTCGAGGTCGTGCCAGCGCGCGACGAGCGACTTGAGGTCAAGGTCCGGGAGATGCATGTCCGGGAGGTGCATCTCGGGGAGATGGAAGTCAAAGTCAAAGTCAAAATCCATGTCTGGCAAGTGCGACTTTAGGTCGAGGTCAGGCAGGTGCGACTTCAAATCGATATCCGGCAGGTGGGACTTGAAGTCGATGTCCGGGAGGTGGGCACCGAGGTCAGGGAGGTGCGAACAGACATCCGCGCGGATTGCATGGAGCATATCGAGTGCGGTGGATGCCCATTCCCGCGCATCCTTGGACTCGAGCAAAGACAGACGGCGCTCGAGGTCGGCGAGGTAAGACAGCACCAGGAAGCGCAGCGATGCCAGGGCCTGTGCTGGGGATGCTGGGGAGAGATCCAGAGCATCGAGAGAAAGAGGAAGCGGCCGACAAGGTGGAATCGGACGCGGTGGGGCATACCGCTGGACCGGGGCGCTCATGCGGCGACGGCGGAGGCGAGGGGGGTGGGAGTCGGACGTCATGGACGACGTTGAGGGCAGCGTCGAGGACGCCATGGCCATCTTGGAGGACATGGACGTTTGCTGCTAAGGAGGATGTGGAGCAGGCATATGAAATTCTGCCCTACCAGCACGTGCCGTAACGCCGCCGTTAAAAAAAACCCGGACCGCAATTCTTGCCTTCCTCGTCCACCTTCGTCCCACGTTTCATTCTCTTCTAGTCATATCTGTGCTATCCACCGCTCTGTCCTCTATGAACGTTCGACACCATGTTCCTTGCATCTGATGGTCGTGTCCGTCGGCGCTTTCAAAACCTTACCCGACGTCACCGATCTGAGTTCCGTCCCGCTCGGTTGCTTGGTCGCTCTTGTCTTTTCTCGGACCTTGCTCGGACCCCGCCTCGGGAGTCCCTCTTATTCGCTCCATTCTCCGCTGGAGCCAGGGGCTCTCATTCATTTTCAGACAGCTAGATCGATGACTTCATGTTCTTGGCTCTCTCGGCGAGTCTTGTATTCCGAGCCTTTCCGAGTCCTCCTGAACTTTGCTCCGTCCGATTATCAACCTGTGGTGGTCCGTCAACCCAATTCTCTCTTGCCGACTCGTAAACCTCGAAATATACACACTCCGCTCTTGAAGCATTCATGCGCTTCCGTAGATCAACGGGAATATCGCCTCAGAGCTTTGTTGGACGCCCAATTAGCTGCTTGAGGAGACGTGGGTTCGAATCCCGTCGGAGGCATCCGCCGTTTGCACTAGTCTTTTGGGATCTTTCTCGTGTTTGATGTAGTCTGACCCTCCTGCTGCTCTCAATTCTGACACGCGCTATATCCGACTCTTCCTCGTCAGCGGGGTCCAACTCTGGAGGCCTCCAAGCTCCTCGGACATCGCCTTCCCCCTCTCACCGTACAGTACGTCCCACATCTTGGCATTTTCCGAGGGGGCGCGGGTTCAACTCCCACGAGAGGCCTTACATCCTCCAGTGTGAAATCTTTTTCTAATAAAAAACTATTCTAGCTTGTTCGTCGACACCCGAAATGTCAGGAATCTAATCCAACTATTCAAGCGACGAGCCTTCTCTTAAGAATCGAAATTGTATCAAGTATGTGCGGCACCAGTGTTCTCTGAATCGGCGGAAACCGGTCGTACTTCTCTCATGCGTGTCCGCACGCGTTTCCATGCCTCACACTCTTCTTCTTCACCCCTGTAACCACTTTCTCCTAGTGCACAAAGCCCGCACGCACACACCGATAACCGTGCATATGCATTACACATACACGTACTCGCTCACTTCGAGCCTCCCTAGATCAACGGTAAGATCGTCTCGACCGTGTGGAGCGTGCGTGCAAGGAATTCTTGAGGAGATGTGGGTTCGAATCCCACCAGAGATTTGGTCCGCTGGTAAGAAAGCTGTTTTATCGGGAGTTGATACTCAAGAACTCTAAACCCGTCCGAGTCTCACCAAAAAGCGCCCACTTCCCAGTATAATAGGTGGACTCACGGATTTCTTTCTCTCCCGGCTCGGCTTCAGCTGACATGATAATTAGAAACTTACCTCATCCCGCTCGAGTTCGGGCCATATATGCAAGCCTCCGTAGATTAGCGGCAAGATCGCCTCTATCTTGTGGCGGGTGTGTATCAAGGATTCTTGAGGAGATGTGGGTTCGAATCCCACCGGAGGCTTCATTTTTCTCGTACTCAACTCAACGACTCAACGACTCAAACCAATCCGACGATTCTTGAAAACATTTTCCGAGATCTCCTCGAAAATGCACCTGCTTGCTTGGAGGCGTGAGATGTGGGTCCATTGTTACATTCAAATCTCAAGAGAGGGATGCCTATCAATGGGTTTCCAGGTTTTCCGACTCGAAATCCTAACTCATCCAGATCAAAGTCGAAGTGTTTGCATGCCTCCGTGGATCAACGGTAGATCGCCTCAGATTTATTCGACTGGCTAGGTGTTTCTTGAGGAGAGGTGAGTTCGACTCCCACCGGAGGCTTTCGACATTTGTCAAATCTTTTTCTCCTGCTAATCAATTTCCGTGACTCATCCGCTTGGATCGGGCCGCTGAGCCGTCCAGGATTCCCACGGTTCGAACTCTGGCGGACACAGCCGCCCAAAAAATTAAATTAGTGTCTTACCGAAAAATGAGTTACGAGTGTTAGAGAGAGCCAAGATATCAATCTGGCTCCTGCATTACAAGTATAATTGGAGCGACTAAATATGTAGGATCAAACTTCAGTCTTTTCCACAACAATCCCGTATCAAATTTACCCAGATCCGAGAACCAATTCAACAAGTTCCCGTCGCCGAGCGTTGGGTGTGTGCTAAAATGCACTTTCATTGCCCTCCTTTGCGCTTCTTCATACCTAGCACCGAAGCGAAGCCAATAAATGTCGGCTTAAATCGCTGTCGTGTCTCGGCATCAACGACTCGGTGATAGCCTGTCGGAGTTTAAAGGCTTCAGACACACGTTATTTTATAAAGAGTACAATAGAATGATCAACTCACTCCCTGAAAGTCCAAGCGTCCTGCGGTACCCCTCCGCTCCTTTGACATTTTCACACTCATTTCTCGTCGAAAAGAAAAGCCCTGCAGTGCTCGATGTCAGGTCAACGGTGCAACAGGATATTTTTCTCTCCCTCCTGCTCCTTCTCCCCCTTCCTCAACCTTCTCCTCATCTTCCTCACAAGGCACAAAGCTCGCAAACCGCCTGCAATTGTTGCCAAGGTAATGTGCATACGGCGGGATCAGCCGCTGTGGCGCTCGAGCTGTCTGAGACTTCGGCTGAAGAGGTCATGAGAGAGAGCCAGAGCCATATTTATTCGTATGCACAGTGCAATACACTTCCCTTGTTGCGATGATCTTGCCTTCTCGGATTGTTCACGAAACAATAAAATATGCATCGTTTTGTCACTGTGATCAACGTCCCGTATATTCGTACACACCCGGACCAGTACTGTGGCGAGGGTGACTGACTGGTTTTACATTGCCCAGAAACAATCAAATCACGGAAGGTTCGTCTGGTATTTTACGAGGAGAGACTTTCTGGGAAACTAGATGACGAAATGACAGCTTGAACCGGTTTGACTTCCAACTGGTCACCTGATCTCGGTCCGAATGTTCAAGGAAGACCTCCGTTGGAAGTACAAGAGTATGAAAGGAATATAACTGCGATGTTATAGTAGGTAACACACCCTTCCTGAGCTTCTCGTTGTCGTGGAAGCCTTTCCCGCGGGCAAAGCATTTGTGGCGGCTGCTGGCTGCGAGATGTTGACAAGTAGCTATCCAGTCCCCGAACTGACGATTGCATTGTTCACAAAAGCGACGCGAAGGGGCGTCTCAATTTGCAGAGGGCGAAGCTGAGCAATTGTGGTTTGTTACCGTAGCCACATTTGATTTGCGATCAACTTCCAAATAACAATCAACCGTGGTTCAACAAATTCAAGCATTGCGAGATCATGACCGCGCTAAGAATCTGCAAGCTGCGAAGAAATTTTATACGATCAACCGACTTTCACAACGAAAATATGGATCAATATAAATTATATGTGGGTGCACGCGAGTATGTATGATATGTTGAAATAGGGCCTGTCACGCGTCCTCCCCGTTTGCGTCGCATCCCCCGGTTTCCTTCCCTCACTACGGACCCTCGATCATCCTTATATATCTCGTATCCGACTGTCGCACTCTAGCTTAATCCCCCCCACGCATCTGTACCCCCGTACCTCTTCTGCGTTATATATCCTTGCTCGGCGCGACTCTCCGTGTGACTGCCCGACCTTCTTATATGATATACCCCTCCCCCCTCCTTCTTGAGCACTTCCGCTTGATATTATCTACCCACAAGTTTCTGAAGTGGATGTTTGAGACTGCAATCTACTGACCCCATTCTCGTTTGATTAAATCTGCGGCACGTTCAGCAATTATGTATGCCGCTGCTTGTGTGTGGGCGGCAGGGATGAATGGCTATCGAGCTCAGCGAATTAGTAATTTTAAGGAGTGTAGTACTTACCACGACTGAAAGATCAACAATTCTGAGCCCGCATAATCCCTTCACCCGCAAGTCTGGGTCCACGACGCCCCAGTTCGCACCTTTCGGGGACATGCTGGCCGTACCAGCAGGGTGAAACACGCTTCCAGCATTCGCGCGAATGAAGTCGTCCAGCTCAGCATCAGTAGCTGTGGAATTTATGCCAAGTGGAGAAATGATATAGTTCGCCCATGCTGGTGCGGAAGCAAAGCGCAGAGAACTCTTAAGAGCCTCTCGCACGACGAAGAAGTCAACCTCGGAGCCCAGAAAATTTGGGTTGATAACCGGGGCTGCAAGACTATCAGTACTGTTCAGCGTTACCCAACCGCCTGGTTAGATAATCAGTGCCAGTCCATATTTCGTGAAAAATGAGCACATACGCGCAGTAGGGGATACCACAGCGGCAGTTATGCTGAGGAAGTTTCCGGTCGGAGGGGGAGGACCCAAAACCCCGTTCGCGATTATAAACTCGTAGTGCGCCGTGTTGGGCCCTGCAGCAGGATCGGGGAATCGATCAAAGATGGAAGAATTATCCGGAATGCGCAACCACCCCAGATGGCTAGTTGGACCATCGACTAGAGGGCCTGTTCGCGTGGTATTCCACTGGGCCAGCTGGTCCGCTGCCAAGGTTGTATTCCGCTCTGCCGTTTCGAAAGTGTTGTTCGAGTTTACAAGGAAACCCACAGGTACCAGAGTATGGTCGCTGAGATTTTGGCCAACCGACGGCAGATTATGTAGTGGTTTGATTCCTAGGGAGGTCAGCGCCGAAGAGTTTCCAATACCTGAGTGCAACAATATATTGGGTGTTCCGATGCTCCCAGCTGAGAGAATGAGCTCCTTCTCTGCAGTTAAAGTGAACCGCCGTCCTGGAGCGACATCAGAAGGTTGTCAGAGGAAGAAATGTGAAACTCACCGTTGAGATCTTGGACAAACTCAACGGTGCGGAATGCGCAGGGCGCAGTTTGGAGAACACGCGTGACTCGCGCATTCAACAGAACGTGCAAATTGGGCCGATGAATAAATTTGGGGGCAAGATAGGATGTCGCTGAGCTGCTCCTCGACCCGTTTTTGATTGTGAATTGTGGCCAGCCTGACTCCTCAGCCGTTAAACATGAAGGTTTTTTCTAGTATTGTACGCACCGATCCCAAGCTGATACCCTGAATTCATGTCGAGGTTGAAGGGAAATTCCTCGAGTTCCCTAGTGGTCTGAATGACCCGGGATCTTATTGGACTAGGGAAGCCTGCGAGAGACACCGCATTGATGCCGTTAAATCCGTGAACTGCAGGATTGAACTGTCCGGTGGTATTGTGATTATCCGAAGGGGGACTAAAGCGTTCATTCTACTCCTCTGCGTCAGAATTTGAAACGATGATATGTCAATTTCGTGTACCTTTCGCATGTATGGAATGAGGCTGTCCCAGGACCAGCCATGGTCTCCTGTCACCCTTGCGAACCTGTCATAATCTTCTCTGGATCCACGGGTGTAAGCCATGTAGTCTGATGATTCTCTTTGGTAAGAAGATAGATACTGAATCAAGAGATATTTACTGACTGACGGAGCTGCTACCTCCGAGAACGAATCCACGAGGATATGCAATCGAACGACCACTCAAGGCAGACTGAGGGGTTGTGGTGTAATTCCAGTCCTGAGGTGTATTTGGTGTTGCCTGCGGGCAAAAGAAAGGAACAGTAATATTCGAAACTTCGTCGGGATATCTGCGTTCGAACTGAGCTTCTAAAGGCGTGATATTGCAACGGAAACCTCACGAGCCGCCTGCTTCGAGAACCAGGACAGAGTGGTCAGGATTTTCGGAAAGACGATTAGCGATGACATTTCCTGCCGTCCCCCCTTCGGCGGCAGCCGTCAGTATCCATCTATACGGCACTGGACAGGTAATTTCTCACCTCCGACGACAATAAAATTGAACTTGGGGTTCGACTTGATCAAATCCGCCACATTGTCGATGACGGCAGCCGAACAATGTGTGATTCCCAGAGCCAGAAGGAAAAGAAGCGGGAGGCACGCCATGGGGTTGGCAGCCATTCAACCTGCGTTCCTTCAGTCTTTAAGCACAGTTATAACGTCATCCGAGTCCTGATAGTGTCCGATATCCTCGCTCATTAGTCAATGACACTGGCAGTGTCAATGGCCCGGATGCTGGCTGTAAATAATACACACGCAGTTCCGTCACAGCGAATCGGATGTCTGACTACTGCTGGGGATGGGATAGAGGGAACCTAACAGTATCCCGTGAACTTACGACACTCTCAACATCATGGAGTAAACTTTGATCAAATGCGACTTAAAAAGTACGAGATTCTGGTATATTCCATCAGTGGCGAATACCGGTTACCGACGGGCTAAGAACGTACGAGAAATTGGTTCCTGGTCTAGGTAGAACTTGATATATACTTGTCAACGAGTGTTGACCACAAGAAAGTCGCGTGTACGAAGCTTCCAGCTCCCCGAGATCCCAGCAGGATTAATCAAGGAGTTCGCCCTTCGATTAGCAACTATTAAAGCCTGAAAAGATTGCCGGGCCTGGAGGTGGCCTGGAGCTGAATGTGTATGGCGTTGACGAGAATTGTGTTCCTGAGCCATGCAGATGTAGGTCGGGCTAGAAGGCCCCGGTTACACTCTTGCGGTAATAATCCTAACGCCGTATGACGCCGCTCCACGACAAACCAGGAACAGTGTAAATTGCTCACGCAAACAATCTATTTTTTGCCTCCGGCTTCATTCGAATGCCGGCGCACATTAGCACACAGGATTCCGACGAGAAACGTTCCGCACCTCTAACGATGATGGAATCGAGCTGTACGTTTAAATTCTCCATTGGTGGCTACGAGATTGAAAGGCCTGCGGTGTTTGAGGCATCAAGGGGCCTGTCGACGAACAAGGGTAAGTAATCTCAGAAGCCAGAATCAAGGTCGCGGCGATTCTACTGTAGATCTTGCGATTTT